AGGCGACACGCGTGCGGCTTTCGCGAAGCAAACAGCGAGTAGGGGGGGGACACGACGCGCACGGTAATCGAGAATCCTTAATTACGACCGTTAGCCGAGGTGACATCGCGAAAACGCTTCGAGAGAGCTGCACCGTTCGCCCCTGCCTCCCCTTCTCCGACTCTTCCAATTTCAATCGTTGTACGCGCTTCAATGACCGTACTTGCATAAGCATTTCCAGGGAACTCTGATTTCATCGTAAAAACGATGTCCGCCGTTCGACTTCGCAAATGAACCGATTCCTCGGGCATCCGACGAGGTTCGTGACATAAATGAAAGGAAGGATGTCATCATTTGTATGTGGAATTATATTAATCGATCATATAACGTGGATTGATCCCTTCTTTTAAATGCGAAAAGGAAATAATCGCCGTTTTGATTAAATTAAAATTCAATTACCGATAATTGTGTGTACACTATTAGTCGGATTAAATGGAACTTCAATTTAAGGGGGATCGGTCTGCGAGATGTACCGAAATAGGACATGCCCGACGAAACGAAAAACGAAAAAGGGAGGGGAAAGAAAAAGTAAGGGAAAAGAAACAACCGAGAGGGATTAATAATTCTCATTACCCCGGGTAACTCGTATCGAGCTACCCGGCTACTCCAATCGTTACCGCGAATGCCCGGACCGATGGTATTCGTTGATTAATCCTCAGAAGGCGAACGTACTCGACGAACCCCGGCGTCCATTTGTATTCTCAATTATCAATCTTCCGACGAATACCCCGAAACCCCGTCCGAACGACTGAAAGATTCGCTTGGCCGTTGGAAAACGACGCTCCTGAAACTCGCCGGACTAGTCTGTCAGGTGAAACCAAGAAAACACCGAGAATTCTTGAAAGAAACAGCGCGAGCAAAAAAGAACTCGTTAGACAATGAATTCCATTGGCAAGGAAACGTCGAACGCCCGACCAATAACTCTACGCGGCGGATCTATTAAGATATCACACCGATCGAGCGGAATATCTGAAACAGGAAAAGCCTGGAGGACGCGCGGCGACGTTGAGGCCGGATCCCAGCGGAGCGATGGCGTCCGACGTGCTCGGATCGCGGCGAAGGGAGAGGACTATTCCGGCGGCGGGAAGAGAAAAATCACGCGAAAAATTTGTTAAAAATTTGCCAGAATTGCCCCGATGACGAATCGGCCGGAATAAATTCAACAAAGTGCAGCTGCACGGCCACGATGAAATATTCATAACGCAATTAAAGGCGGACGACGACGGAACGGGCGATCCTCGCCGGCTCTCCCGCCGGAGCGAAAGTCGCGGCGCGCGAATCATCGATCCGGAGGATCCTCGGGAACGAGGAACGCGGGCTGCTCGTTTACAAGCGGATAGGTCAAGGCGAGTGCGCTTAAACGCCCTCGATATAAATCACTGGCCGAAGAAAGCCGGAAAAGGGGGGCTCTGGAAGACGTGGATTCCCTTTCCCGATCAATACCGCCGTCCATCACGCGGAAGTATAAATCGACAAATATTCGTCGACCGTGCACCTCAAAATGGCGGAGAAATAAATCGAAGATCGACGCGATGCCGTCGGCGGGAATTGGATTCCTGACGAGCATCGTGCGATACCGGCGTTTGTTCGCTTAATAAATGTATCCTGACATTTTTGTCGCGTTTAACCCTCGAAAGTTGTTATTAGAGAGAAGGTTGGCGTACGAGAATTGAGATGTTTCATAATAACGTAATCGTAAATGATATATTATTAAAACAATATTACGTGTGGTATTAAAATAATAATCTTGCAGAGTGAAACTTCACTAATGACAGCTTTGGTATGGGAGAATTATCGGCAAAAGAAATTTGGAGTACAGGTGGTAGTTGCGAAGAGGCTTTACGAGACTTTTCTGCGGGTTCGATTCCTTCGGAGAAAATGTACTGATTATAGTGTCAGAGTTTTTGTATGAGCAATTGTAGATCAGCGCATGATATATAGAGAAAATGAATACCTCCAAGTAGTCCACAATGTTGAACTTATTAAAATTCCTCGGGACTCGGTACGTCAATTAACAAGTAACATTTTCAGGAAGGAATAACCTGTCGAGAGGACTGTGCGCGAGTACCTCGTGAATTACCATATTTACGGCCCGATTCGTTCTATATTATTCAAACGTATTCGTCGTTTCAAGATAAATTCTATATGCCTAAAAAGCATCGATTACGCGAGGAACTGTAATCGCGGTTTCTTTCAAGGGCAAAAAATCGATCGCGGTTTCATTACAATTTCATGTACTTAGTAACGCGTAATTTATTCATCGGCCGGGATAACGTATTGTATAGGCCCCAAGGTTCCGGAAAATCAGATCATTAGTAGATCGCGGACGTATAAGCGGTCGCACAGTCCTCTAAACTAGTTTCGGTTCGGTGAAACCGAACAGGAAACGATGCCGTTTACTTCATTAAATCCGTAAGGTTCCCACCGTGTCCGTCGATCTTGTCCTAAAAACGTGGCTCGCCGACCGAAAGGACGCTGAAGCGGGAGGAACGATAATCGAAGAAACGGAACGACACGAAACGGTCCCATTACGGCGAAACGGCGCGGATTTCGGTTCGGTGGGAAAGCGGCCGATCAATTTGTTCGAATTAATATCGGGTAAATACGCGTTCCTCGGATAATTGATTATTAATCGTTCCGCGCGACGGCAGGAGAATTTATACGGGGAGAACCAGTTGTGAATGGAGC